TGAAGTATGGCTCAAGCAGTAGAGCACCTGCTTTGAAAGCATGAATCCCTGTGTTCAAACCCCAGTCCCAGCAAGAGAGCGAGAGAGAGCGAGAGAGAGAGAGAGAGAGAGACAGAAACAGAAATAGAGCCAGAAAAAGAGAGAGAAACCCCATAGAACCAATAAAAAGCTGATGTGGTGGCATATGCCTGTCATCCCAGCTATGTGGGAAGCATAAATAGGAGAATTACAGTCCAGGCCATTCCAAGCATAAATGAAAAATTCTATTCAAAAAATAAAGCAGAAAGGGCTGGGTGCATGGCTTAAGTGAGAAAGCACCTGCCTAGCAAGCACAAGGTCTTGAGTTCAAACCCTAGTACTGCCAAAAACCAAACAAAAAACACTTGAACATCCAAGAATATATATTGAGTGTCAACTGTGGCCACACATTATTGTGTAACAAGAAAATTGGAAAATGTCCTGTCTTCCAGGAAATGATATTCTACCATACCAGACAATGCCAAAGTCTATGAAGAGAATTAAAACAGGATCAACTGATAGAGAGTGACTGGGTGGCTACTTAGAATGAGTGGTCAGAGAAGTTCTATTTGAGGAGGTGATATAAACATAGACATGAATTACCAGATAGAACTAGCCAAGTGAAGGTCATTGCAACAGCACCCTAGGAAGAGAACAGTCATATAAAAGTCTTGAGTAGATGCTCAAATCATATGGTTAGAGAGAAGTTAAGCAAGGAGAGGAGTGGGAGATGAGGTTAGAGAGGCAACAAGGGCTGAGACACTGAAATTCAGGGTAAAGTGTTTGAGTTTTTATTCCAAGTGCCATGGGGTTTGGTCATTGAAAGCGTTTAAATGCATGTGTGATAGAACCTGATTTTTGTTTTGAAAAGATCATTAACTGAAGCCCAGAATAGTGGCTCATGCCTGCCATCCCAGATACTCCAGAGGCAGAGATCAGGAGGATCAAGTTCACAGTCAGCCTGGGCAAAAAGTTAATGAGACACCCATCTCAACACCACCACCAACAACAAAAAGCTGGACATTGTGGCACACACCTATTATGCAGGAAGCATACATAGGAGAATCTCTGTTCAGACCAGCCCATGCCAAAACACCAGACCCTATAGAAAACATAAGTAAAGAAAAAGAGCTGAGAGTGTGGCTCAAATAATAGACTGCCTGCTTAGCAAGCATGAAGCCTTAATTTCAATGCCCCAAAAAGAAACTTCATTGTCTGCTGATGTAAGAATGCATTATATTAGGTAGTTATGAATGGATGCCCTTCCTAAACTGATGAGATTGCCCCTCTGTGTATGGCAATTACAACAGAAGTAATAAACAGGCAGGGACTTACACCTGGAGCCTTCCTTGTTTTTATTTCCATGAGAAGGCTCCTCTGGCCATGGATATTTTATTTCCTGATGCTACATATCAAGAATTTAATCTCTAGGTGTCTCTTGGTGCCTTCAGGAATGAGTAGTTGGGAATAAGCATACAGAGGTGCATAAGACCATGATGCTGGAGTAAGCAAGAAGTCAGACAGAGATTGCTATATTCAGGAAAATTGCTAATGGGCAGGTGTGGGCAGGGGAATTGTTGAAGCCTATTTGCTGACAGAATACCTTCAGTGTTTGGCCTCCAACCATTGGGTAGATAGGATATTCTCCTCAGTTATGCCTAGAACCCCAGAAAAGTTTTTGTAGCCTTAATTTCCTGGTTGTGTGTACAAAAGTGTTTGATTTTCAGCTTTTTTTTTTCTTTCTTTTCTTTTTTTTTTTTGGTGGTACTTGGATTTGAACTCAGTGCTTACACCTTAAGCCACTCCACCAGCCCAAACTATTTGTCCAGGCTGACTTCAAACCACGATCCTCCTGATCTCTGCCTCCTAAATAGCTAGGATTATAGGCATGAGCCACTGGCACCTGGCCTAATTTTCAGCTTTTTCAATTAAGCTAGAAGTGAAGAATGACAAATGTTCACCTTGGCCAAGGTTTTCTTACTTGTTTCTGGTTCCTAGAAAGACAAAAGTGCAAACCCTTGTCCAAGAAGCCAAAAACTTTGGTCAACTTACAAATTCCCTCCCTAAAAGAACTAGATCCTTCCTAATTCTTATATCCTTTTAACCGTTATCTTAAGAACTTGCAGCACCTGGGCACCAGTGGCTCACACCTATAATCCTAGCTACTCTGGAGGCAGAGATCAAGAGGATCATGGTTCCAAGCCCTGGCAAATAGGATTATATTTTGTCCTATATTGGATCCTGCCCTCTCTATGACCAGCATCTCCAATGTATCAATTTATTTAGGACCGACCCACCATGTGAACACTCTGAAGGGAAAGGGTCAATAAAGAAGCAGAGTTTGGGACACACAATACGGTGAGGTACATCATAGAGTGACCTGGTAGAACTGTCTTCCCAGAATTATCTACAGGGATTTATGAGTTAAGATTGGTCATTATTAGTGACATGCACAAAGTGCTTTTAACCACAAGTCTGAAAAGTCAATGACCAGGCAGAATCACTTCAGAGAACCTCAAGAGATACATACACAACAGGGACTGAGAAAAATGAAAGAGCTAAAGCTGGCCTTATGGAAAAGGTAATACATGAACTGGGGCTTTAAGCTAGACTTTAAAAGATAGGTTATGTCATCACACTAACAAATGCATAAGTAGGTTCCCAAATAAATTTTGGGAAAGTGTCCCCAGAGAGTAAACTTTTAAACAAAGCATAAAGTTTCAGAATAGTGGCAAAGTCTTCTGAGACAGAATGAGTAGCAGGTTTGCATATTTTTATGGTGCTAGGGCTGTAGCTCAGTGGTAAAGTGCAACCATGTGTGTTGATTTGGGTTCCATCTCCAGCAACACAAAGAAAATAATAATAATAATAATAAAAGAACCTTACTGGAAAGAGTGGTGTATATATTCAAACATACACATCTACATGTAGAATGTGCCACTCAGCATTTTGGTTTATAGCCCACCTTGTCCTAGACTTGGTGATAGGAAACTGTGTCATACAAGTTTTTGTGTCCTCATTGCTTTTTCACAGTAATCCCTAAGAGATTAAACACCCATTTTTACAGATACTTTGATTTTAAAGAATTAGTCTTAACTTTCTTACGTTAGGAAGTCATGGGTCTCGAACCCTTGACCTCCCAATCTGATTGCTAGGCTGGTGCTCTAGGACCTGAGTCACTCTGCCAGCCAGCCTTACTTTTTATAAGTAATAAATCTATTGCCTAATATCTCAGACTACCAATTTTGTGTAGAGGGTAACACAAACAAGGTGAAAATTTTGTTCTCCTGTCCCCAGATTTACAAATTCCGGTTAGTTTAGCCACGTCTGTAGTTGTGCTTGGATCAGAAATCCCTCTTGGAATGTGGGACTTATGAGAATGCGATGGAGTTTGGCAAGAAACGCCTATCCCAAATCAAAATAACTGTAAAAACAAAACTTAGTTCGCCACTGGTTCATTTAGCTACTTTGGTTCTGCTTTCTTCCTGGTTCATTTTCCTTTACCAAGATGGCCATGTAGCGCTCACTCTCCATTGGCCGAAACTTCTGCAGAGAATGATACTAGCCCCAGCCACCAGCTCCCCACACCAGGTTCTATTTTTTTTATTATTATTCATTTATTCATATGTGCATACATTGTTTGGGTCATTTCTCCCCCCTACCCCCTGCCCCCACTTTATCCCCCCCCACCCCTCCCACCCCCCCCACCCCACCCCCACCCCCCGCGCTTCCAGGCTTCACTGATTTTGTTGAAGAGAAGACATAAGCATAATAAGAAAAAGTGTTTTTGCTAGTTGAGTTAAGGATAGCTATACAGAGAGATTCCTAGCATTGCTTCCATGTACAAATGTGTTACAACCCAAGTTGATTCATCTCTAATTGATCTTTCTTTACACTGTTTCCTGATCCCCTTCTCATGTTGACCTCTGTCGCTTTAAGGTTTCTGTGTTAGTTCCTCTGGAGTGGGGACATCAAACACTTTCATGTTTTGGGTTTTCTACCTATCCTCATACCTCCCTTATGTGCTCTCCCCTTGTCATGTGACCCAAGTCCAACCACATTGCTGCATTTGCCCTAGACCTAAAGTCTGAATATGAGGGAGAACATACGATTTTTGGTCTTCTGAGCCTGGCTAACTTCGCTCAGAATGATGTTCTCCATTTCCATCCATTTAGTTGCAAATGATAAGATTTAATTTTTCTTCATGGCTGAGTAAAATTCCATTGTGTATAAATACCACATTTTCTTAATCCGTTACTCAGTAGTGGGGCATCTTGGTTGTTTCCATAACTTGGCTATTGTGAATAGCACTGCAATAAACATGGGTGTGCAGGTTCTCTGAAGTAACCTGTGTCACATTCCTTTGGGTATATCCCCAAGAGTGGGATTGCTGGATCATATGGCAGATCTATGTTTAGATTTTTAAGAAGCCTCCAAATTTTTTTTCCAGAGTGGTTGCACTAGCTTACATTCCCACCAGCAGCGTGTGAGGGTTCCGTTTTCCCCACATCCTGGACAACACCTGTTGTTGGTATTGTTTTTGATGATGGCTATTTTAACAGGGTGAGGTGGATTCTTAGTGTGATTTTGATTTGCATTTCCTTTATGGGTAGAGATGGTGAGCATTTTTTCATGTGTTTTTTGGCCATTTGAATTTCTTCTTTTGAGAAAGTTCTGTTTAGTTCACTTGCCCATTTCTTTATTAGTTCATTGATTTTGGGAGAGTTTGGTTTAAGTTCCCTGTATATTCTGGTTATCAGTCCTTTGTGTGATGTATAGATAACAAATATTTTCTCCCATGCTGTGGGTGGTCTCTTCAGTTTAGAGACCATTTCTTTTCTTATGCAGAAGCTTTTTAATTTCATGAAGTCCCATTTGTCCATTCTTTCTCTTACTTGCTAGGCTGCCACACCAGGTTCTAAATCCTTGGGAGTGTAATTGACAGGCTGGTGGGGTGGGCGTGGCACCGGATGTGACGTTAGCGGAAGCGCGGAGAATCATCAACGAGGAAAGGTGGGGAAGGGTCCCGGGAATGTGGTGGGACAGGGGCTCTGGGCGTGATCCGACTTGGCGGAGCGTTTGCGGTGCGTGTGGGGACTGCAGCTTTTTCCTCCCCCGCGTTCGCTTCCTGGCCTGCCGCTGGCGAGGCGCCTTACGGCTCCGGTCCGAGTGGACTGGCTCCTGACCAGACAGGCCCCGCGCTTCCTGCCTACTGCCTTTAAACCCGAAAATAACATGATTTTGCCCAGGATTGGTAATTCGGGCTTAAATACCTTTGAGGATGACGCCTCAAGGCGTTGCCTTTAGGCCCTTTTCTGCTGTATATGCCCTCTCCGCTCCTTCCTGTTACTTCCTTTTGCCACCTCCTGGAATTTTCCGCTCCCAGCCCTCTCGTCACCCTCCCCCCCTTATTTGTGATGCCGCATATCCTCTCTGGAGTGTTACTCCTACCACCCCTTGCTCTCCGGCGTAGCTTGCTGGCCTCGGAAGGGGCCCCTTTCTGGACCCTCTAGTACCTCTCCTTAGAGGTACCGAGATGCCTTGAGCACCCTTCCTTTCAATTAGCTCTGATAGGCTGTACTGGGTTTACCAGGTAGGCAACTTGGGGAGGTTTTAGATATGCAGGAGGCTTTGTGAGAGATGCAGTGCTCCTGTATCCTTAGCAGCCCCCAGCCTCTATGATTAAGGAGAGTGTTTTAGTGGGGAAGTTGCATACAGGAAATGTGACCCAAATAATAAAGAAACCTAAAGATAAAATTGCCTTAGAGGTGTTTCTATCTCTGAGGGAAGAATTGGAGTAGAAAGTGGAAAAACTGCTGAACAAGTGAAACTGAACTGTGAGGGTTTGGATGCAGGTTGGAATCTTGACTGAAGCAAAAATTGTTGTAAGATGGAAAAGGATGGAAGTGACAAAATGAGGCCTCACACCTGGCCATGAATTCCAAGATGAATTTACTGTAGCCTCTATATTCTAGGGTATGTTGGTCAGGCAGTACTATAATTCAATGCATATCAAATACCCAGATTCCTTTTGGAGATTATGGACAATGATAGTATCTCATTGGAATTTGGTGACTGATTCTCACTTCAACAATATCTAGAAGGATGGCAGAATTACTGGAGCTCAAGATCCAGGGAGGGAAAACTTCCACATTGAGGTGATCAGCTTCTGAATTCCAAGGTATATTTGTGCCCTTTGTTATTCAAAGAGTGCTAGTTTTTGAAGATGGGTAAATTGATGTTTTCAAGATTTAAATATTGGGCTGGAGATGTGGCTCAAGCAGTAGAGCACCTGCTTTGCAAGCTCAAAGACCAGTTCAAACCCCAGTACCACAAAAAAAAAAAAATTAAGTACCTTGCCATGATAATGGGGAATGATGTTATAGACTGACTGGAATAGTGGCTTAGTGAGCAGAATTATGATGAAGAGCATTTATTCCCAGAACAACTCCCCTAGCTAAGCTTGTATTCAAATATGAAAATGTATTCCACAGAAAACTTACCACAGACAATGCACTCTGCCAGGTACTGTGACAAATGTAAGTAGGTATTGGAAGAAGAAATAATGGAGAAAATATAAGACACTCCTATGGTGCTCTAGGCAGGGCCTTCTAATGATGGGGAATGACTAATTTGAAGGGTAGAACTGAACCCGCTGTGGCCTATTACTATTATATTCCTTATACCACCTAATTATGGCATAAGAATTGGGTTTTGAGTTTGCTAATGCTTATCATCATTTGGGCTTCCTCGAGGGTCTCAGCCTTTTTGTAGAAGAGAGACTTTGATCTGAACCACAAATACAATGGGGTTTTTTCCTCTAATTGCTTCTTATGGCAGAGGTTTGTAAGATGAACACACTGTGCTAGATGCTGGGACATAGGAGGCCATGGTTATGGTGTCATCTGTTTTCTCTGTTTCTGTCTTAGAATCTGTTGGTCCTGATGTCTGACCATGGAGATGTGAGCCTCCCACCTGAAGACCGGGTGAGGGCCCTCTCCCAGCGGGGAAGTGCAGTGGAGGTAAATGAAGACATTCCACCCCGTCGGTACTTCCGCTCTGGAGTTGAGATTATCCGAATGGCATCCATTTACTCCGAGGAAGGCAACATTGAACATGCCTTTATCCTCTATAACAAGTATATCACGTAAGACACCTACAGTTTCCTTTTTCTTTTTTGGTGACTGATGCCTCACTCGTTCTTCCCTTGTGCTCACTTATTCTGCTCATAATTGCTAAAAGTAGACCTTTACAACATACTGAGTATTAATCATTTTTGCTGGCATTTCCTACGTATTGGTTGTCCTTGCCATTCAAAAGCATGAGTAGTGAAGGTGTTGTTTTCATGACTCAGTAATTTCATGAGTAAGACACTTAGTTCTTGGCCTGTGCCCACATGGCCCCGCTGTTAGACAAAAGAGTCGTAGTTAAACAGAACATGTTATAAATTGACGGGTGCTCTCACTGCCCTTTTCTCTATTCAAGCAGGCAGTCATAGGATTGTTGTTGGGGTATAGCAGAGCCAAAATTCCTCATTTCTGCTTAATTTGTAGCAAGTAGAATGACCTATGAAAAAGCTTTTCTTCTTAACCTTTACCATAGTCACTGCAAATAATTGAATAATTATGGACTGCCTACAGTTTGTGTGGCTCATCAAAATAAGACATTTCTCTTGAATTGTCATCTTAGTGCAGGCAGCATAAATATAAGATTTCAGTAATAATAATAGGGAACAACTCCTAAAGTTTCAGTGACAAAGAAGTAACATGAAATTTAGTAAAGGAATAATGTTAAAGATCTTATTTATCATTTCTAGTCTTGTTCTTTGATATCAGGACCTTTAAAAAATAATCACATGTATTTGTATGTCTCTGAGTAGGTCTACCTATGACTTAAGTAGGTCATAGGGTATTTCACCTGCAATTTCATTGATCTTTTTTTGTGTGTGTGCAGTACTGGGGTTTGAACTCAGGGCCTGTGCCTTGAGCCACTCCACCAGCCCTTTTTTTGTGGTGGTCTTTTTTGAGATAGGGGTCTCACAAACAATTTGCCCAGGCTGGCTTTTTTTTTTTTCCATTTATTCATATGTGCATACATTGTTTGGGTCATTTCTACCCCCTACCCCCTACTCCCTCCCTTCCCCCAACCCTATCCCACTCCCTCGCTTCCAGGCAGAAATTGGTCTGCCCTTATCTCTAATTTTGTTGGAGAGTATAAACAATAATAAGAAGGACAAAGTGTTTTTGCTAGTGGAGATAAGGATAGCTATACAGGGAGATTCCTAGCATTGCTTCCATGTACATATGTGTTACATTCTAAGTTGATTCTTCTCGAACTGACCTTTTCTCTAGTTCCTGATCCCCTCTTCCTATTGGCCTCTGTCACTTTAAAGTTTCTGCATTAGTTCCTTTGCATTGAGGACATCAAATTCTATCATGATTTTTGGGTTTCCTACCTATACTCACACTTCCCATGTGTGCTCTTGCCTTACCATGTGACTAAAGTCCAATCACATTAGTGTATTTGCCCTTGATCTAAGGTCCGCATATGAGAGAAAACATATGATTATTGATCTTCTGAGCCTGGCTAACCTTGCTCAGAATGATGTTCTCCAATTCTATACATTTACTTGTGAATGATGAGATTTCATTCTTCTTCATGGCTGAGTAAAATTCCATTGTGTATAAATACCACATTTTGTTAATCCATTCGTCAGTAGTGGGGCCTCTTGGCTGTTTCCATAACTTGACTATTGTGCAGGTGCCTCTGGAGTAACCTGTATCACATTCCTTTGGATATATCCCCAGGAGTGGGATTGCTGGATCATATGGCAGATCTATGTTTAGATTTTTAAGAAGCCTCCAAATTTTTTTCCAGAGTGGTTATACTAGTTTGCCTTCCCACCAGTAGTGTATAAAGGTTCCTTTTTCCCCGCATCCTCGCCAACACCTGTTGTTGGTGGTGTTGCTAATGATGGCTGTTCTAACAGGGGTGAGGTGGAATCTTAGTGTGTTTTTGATTTGCATTTTTCCTTTATGGCTAGAGATGGTGAGCATTTTTTCATGTGTTTTTTGGCCATTTGAATTTCTTCTTTTGAGAAAGTTCTGTTTAGTTCACTTGCCCATTTCTTTATTGGTTCATTAGTTTTGGGAGAATTTAGTTTTTTGAGTTCCCTATATATTCTGGTTATCAGTCCTTTGTCTGATGTATAGTTGGCAAATATTTTCTCCCACTCTGTGGGTGTTCTCTTCAGTTTAGAGACCATTTCTTTTGATGAACACAAGCTTTTTAGTTTTATGAGGTCCCATTTATCTATGCTATCTCTTAGTTGCTGTGCTGCTGGGGCTTCGTTGAGAAAGTTCTTACCTATACCTACTAATTCCGGAGTAATTCCTACTCTTTCCTGTATCAACTTTAGAGTTTGTGGTCTGATATTATCAGTCCTTTGACGTGTAGCTGGCAAATATTTTCTCCCTCTCTGTGGCTGGTCTCCAGTTTAGAGACCATTTCTTTTGTTGAGCAGAAGCTTTTTAGTTTTATGAAGTCCCATGTGTCTATGCTATCTCTTTGTTGCTGAATTGCTGGGGGTCCATTGGGAAAGTCCTTGCCTATATCTATTCCAAAGTATTTCCTACTCTTTCCTGTACCAACTTTAGAATTTGGGGTCTGATATTAAGGTCCTTGATCCATTTTGAGCTGATACTAGTACAGGGTGATAAACATGGATCTAGTTTCAGTTTTTTGCAGACGGCTAACCATTTTTCCCAACAACTTTTGTTGAAGAGGCTGCTATTTCTCCGTTGTATATTTTTAGCCAGGCTGGCTTTGAACTATGATCCTCCTCATCTCTACCTCCTGAGTAGCTAGGATTGCAGGCGTGAGCCACTAGCGCCCAGCTAATTTCATTGGTCTTCGGAGGTCTATATGCACTGAGTGGGGCACATCATCTTTCCATTCTACATACGAGGGAACAAGATCAGAGTTCAGTGATATGCTGTGTTCTACAGTTTGGCATTATAAAACTCGGGTTTGTAAAAATACAATGGAGTGAAAAAATCCAGATTTTATAACTCCTATCTTAGGATTCATTCTAGAACATAGGTTCCTTTTGTTTTCCATTTAATAGTGTTCTGTGAATTGAAGATAGTCTTTTGAGATCATAGACATGCGCCACATTGACTTATTTTTTTGGTTAGGTTTTTTTTTGTGTGAGTGTGGGTGTGCACGCAGGGTCGGGGAGGTGTCACTGGGGACTGAAGCCAGCACCTCACACATGCTATGTAAGTACTCTACCACTGAGCTACTTCCCCACCCCCTTGTATATATATGTATATATGGTGTAGAATTCAGAAAGCACAAAAGAGTATATATTGTTAAAAAGTAAATCTTCTCACCCACTCTTCTTTTCCCCCAAATCCTCAGCTTCCTACCCTAATGACAGTGACTCTTACTAGTTCTTTATTTGTGCTCCCAGACAGATAGACGTACATCAATTAATCACAGTAAGTTTTTGATAACATACTTCTCTTAAGCAGGATCTCTGATTTCGTAGTGAATAATTCTTTGTTCTGGGGTTGTTCTGTGTGTTATAAGATGTCTAGCAGTATACCTTGTTTCTACCTGCTAAGTGCATATAGCAATCCTTACCCTAGATGTGACAACCAAAATTGCCACCAGACATTACCTAATGCTTTCTGAGTTACAAAATTGCACCTTAGTTGAGAACTAATCCTTTAAACAAAACTATGTAGGAGAGTGAGCTACCTATGATTCATATTGTATTTTTTAAGTTTAGATGTATTGCCTGTTTCCTCAAAGTTCTGTTAGTCCATTAATGTCATCATGCCCATGTGGCCTCAGTGCCAATAAATTTTCATAGAATTATAATAATTACATTTTTTCTTTTCCAAACTATCATTCAGTCCTGTGGAGTCTACCTCCATATACCAAATCCATCTGTCTCTTCTTTATTTCCATACTATACTACCTCAAGCCACCAGCTTTCTCCTGAACTACTACAAGAGTTTCCTAACTGGTCTCCTGCCTTCTTATAGCACTCTCTTCACCATGTACCACACAACAGCTGAATTTCATATTTTATTCTAAAACAAATGCAGTAATATTATTAGACATGGGTCACATATTAAGGGGAGAACATGCACAGGAAGAATAGGGAAAGGGAAGGAAACCTAAAATGTGAACGTGGTTGATATGCTCACTGTAAAGGAGCAGAAAAGGTCCAGAAAAGAGAGTTTATTGTAGCAATAAACTCCTGAGAGGGCAAGGAGGAGTAGTATTAAGAATATACAGGCAGGGTGCTGTTGGCTATCACTTCTAATCCTAGCTATTCAGGAGGTAGAGATCAGGAGGATTGCAGTTTGAAGCCAGCCCAGGCAAACAGTTCAGGAGACCCTAACTCAAAAATACCCAATACAAAACAGGACCAGCAGAGTGGCTCAGATGGTAGAGTACCTGCCTCGCAAGTATGAGGCCCTAAGTTCAAACCCCATCACTGCCAAAAAAAGGACATGGATAGCCAAATATCAGTGGCTCATGCCTGTAAACCTAGCTACTTAGGAGGCTGAGATTGGGAGGATCGTAGTGTAAGGCCAGTGCAGGCAAATAATTTAGAATTCAGGAGATGCCCATCTCCAGAACTAACTAAAGCAAAACACTAGAGGTGTGGCTCAAGTGGTAAAGCTCCTTTTTTGCATAGCACAAAACCCTGAGCTCAAACCCCAGTCCCATCAAAAGAAAAAAATAGATGGCTAGAGATATAGCTCAGTGGTAGAGCACTCTTGCCTACCATGTGCAAAGCCCTGGGCTTGATCCGCAGCAACACAAAAAAATTGATTTTTTTTTGAGTGACAGAAATATCAGTGTTAATAGCAAGACTCATGTGAGGAGTCTGTACCTATATAAGGAGTTCCACTTAATATGATGAACTAGGCCTGGAGGAGAGTTCTGGACAGGGGGGTTGGGAGTCTATTTACTTGGTTTGTTGGATTTGGGGGTTAATTTTCACTAGGGTGGTTTGGCCTGAAGCTATAAATGGATCTTTATTTTCCTGGCATCTGTTTTCAAGACCTTGATTCTGCTTCTGTGAACTGACACAACACAGAAGTTGCAAAGAAGTTCTAATTCAGT